TCAGGGGCATTTCAGGGTTTCAACCAGCACCAAGCAGGGCAGGTGACACCTGCAGCAAGGGGGATGAGTTTAATTTACCAGAACTACCATCAGGGCAGGTACTGAGGAGGGTGGTGGCAGGAAATGTGCTCCCTCCTCAGCAGGGATGTCCCAGCCCACTCCCAGCTCAAGGTAAGAGAGGAAACTGCAGCCAGAACCCAGCTGCCCATGGCTCCAAAAATAACTGTTTGTCCCTCTGCCCTTCCCAGAAATAGAATCTGAAACCACAGCATCTTGGCCAAATTGGAATTTGTATAGTTCTGCGAAGCATTTCCTTCAGTTAGGAATGATTTAATTATTCTTCACTTCCTCTTCTAGAAATCATTCCTGGATAATGAGGTTAGCATAGAGCAGATATGTTTCAGTCAAGGAATAGATGTAATTTAGTGCCAGAAGGCTTTTACAGTTGGGAAGAAAAAAAAAAAAAAAAAGGTTTTTGGACACTTCTAAATAGAAGCAGCAGGATAGAGAAGGTTTGCTATTAAATTAGAACAGTCTGAGACACCAGACCATGGGGTGCTTTAACCAGTGCTGTGTCAGCCCCTGCAGAATCAGAGCACTCCCCTGCTGCCCAGATTCTTACACAAGGGTAACAAGGCACATTTTAAATAATTATTAAATAATGGCAAGCTGCATTACTGCCAGAGAATTGTTTATCTCTGCAAATTGGATCACTGGAGTCAAAGCAGGAGAGCTAAAATTCTTCCAGCATTAAATGGAAGATCTGCTGCTGCACCTTCTTTTGGTCTTTGGAAACTGTGAATCCTGCATGGCACTCAAATGGATTTTATGACAAATATCCTGCTGAATCAAGCTTTTATTATTCATGCAACAGTCAAAATAAACTGCCTTATCAATCAAATGTAGGCACTGCTGCAATTAAACACAGAAAATTATTTTCCTTCTAAAGCCTGGTTGGACAGACATTGAGAGGACCAACTCCATCTTCAGCAGCTCCATTGAACAAACAAGTTCTTTGGAGCTTTTCACTATTTAACTATGTTCCAGAACCTTAACTTTTATTTTTAAATCATTCCTGGATTATTTTACAGCAGTTTAGCAAATTTCTTCTACAGAAAACTAAAAAGTGTCCAGAGAAGCTAATGTCAAACATCATGTTTTTTGGGAATGATCTAAACAAAAGCAGAAAACCTCAACAACACAGTGTTAAATTAAAACCTGCTCTGTTTGCACTGAAAAATTTGCACTTAATTTACATGTTTAGGATGGAAATTAAGGAATAGAAGAATTTACAGGGTGTCCTTGAAAACAATTCAGGCCAAAAAAAATCCAAGAGTCTTGTAGCAAACTTGATGTGATGAGGAGGATGATCAGAAAATGATTCTGTTCCACTGAGGGCTGGGTCATTGCTTGAGACTTGGCTGAAGGCAGCAAGCAGCCCCTCTTCAGCCTCACTAAACAGGAATCACTAAAGACTTGACTTTTTTTAGTTTGTCTAAGTCCTCCAGCGTTAGCAGCTCTACATTTACTGAGAGGGAGAACAGCTTCAGAAAGATGTAAATCCAAATGATCTTGAAAGACAAAATATATAAAAATGCTATTACTGTCTAGTGAGACTGCACATATTTTTGATTTATATTTCTGAATATTTCACCAGAAAAAAATGTTACAGTGTACACTGTATGTTCCTTTGAACAATAAACAAGCTATTAGGGAACACATTGGTTATTTCTGGTTACCCTGAATACATTCTGGGGCTGAGGAAAAGCATTTCTTCAGCTTTTGTGTATCCAGTACCAGCTCAGGGAAGTCAGACAGCTGCTTTCAAAACAAACTGGGCTTCCAATCGAGCTTGGCTTGGTAGAGGAACTTGAAATGTGTTTCTCACCAAAAGATTTTCAAGTGGAAATGCAATAACATGTTAATTAGAAAAGTCTTTGCATAGCAAAAGGCTCCCAAAGAACAATAACTCTGTAGTTGATGTAAGCCTTTTCTAACACAATCTTTACATGGGGAAAAGAAAATATGAAAGAAAGAACAACAGCAGAGAAAAGATGATACAAAATGTTGTATTTGAGTTTCCCAAGTAGTGATTAAACCCTTCTGTGGGAATCTGCCTTGATCACCAAGCAGAACAGAGCTAGAGAAAGCTGACATGACACAGCCTGGTACAAAACCTGCAAGATCTGGCAACAATTTTAAATTACACATTATTAGAGAACCATGAACTCATATACAAACATTGTATCAAGTAAAAAGCAAAATTCAGGCACTTTCAAATACATTCTCAATACAAGTCTTTTCTTCTAACCAGGGAAGCTGGCATGCAACATTTGATACTGATTTGCTGTTCCAGGACAACAGACTGGATGGACTAAGGGCATAAAGAGGGAAAAGTCACTAATAAAATATATCTTGAGTACATAAAGCAGCTTAAAAGCTCAGAAAGCCTCCCAGCACTGCCCACACCAGCTCTGCAGCCTGTGCCCACAGTGCCAAATGTAGAATTGCCATTGATGACCACCCAAAAATGCCTGTCCCAAAGCAGAACAAGGGCTGGGAGCACAGGCAGCTCCAAACAGCTCCTGGACAACAGCAGTTCTCATTCCCAAGCAAACAGCTGAGTTCAGAGGGCAGGGGGGGATTTCAGGTCCCTTCCAACCCAAACCATTCTGTGACTCCCCACAATCAGTGACCTGAGCAGCCAATGCTCTCCACACAGGTACCTGTCCTCTTAAAACAGCAAGGAAAGTTACTCAGGGGTTGTAACTGATTTGTGCACATACTCCTCCACAAAATTTTGTATACAAATACAATACATTATTTATTTCTTTGAAGACTGTGTACAAAATACAGCATACATAACAAAGACATGGAATATTTACAGCTGTAACATTAGTTAAAGGCTTGACCTTGCTTTATTGAGAAGAAAAGCTCATCAGCTACTGTGGAATTGCTGCTGAGGATGTTCAGGTTGTTTGCTGGACTCAGGCATCCCATATCAGCCTGTGAGGAATCACATTAATCTCATTTTCCCCTGGTTATCTTTTCAAATGGATACCTGACGCAGTTCTACACAAAGAGAGTCTTTTTACATAATCCTGGATATCCAGCCCTTAACAGTCCTTCAAAGAGCTCTGCACTTTCCTCCACAAAGGGTTTGCTTCTGGCACTGAATTGAATCAGTAAAGTATTGACAGTCTCACACAGAACTGCAGATGCCAAGCTGAGAGTGTCACAAACCAGGAGATCACAGCAAAAACCAAACCCTGCTTTCTGTGGACACTCATGTGAGCAAAGCAGATTAAACCTGCCTCACCTTGGCACAGCAATCAGCATTAACTCCAGCATTTTGCAGTGTGGGTTTGATTGTTTTGGATTTACAGATAGATTGTGTTGAGCAGAATAAATGTAGTTAAATGCTGTGGTGTCTATAATCTTAACTCTAGTCTTAATTCTAATCTAAATTAGAATTAAAACTAGTCTTAATTCTAATCTAAATTTCCCCAGCTGTCTCAATTCAGCTGAAACAAAGCCTGCAAGTAAATCTGAAATGCATTAATAATGATTAATAATAATAATATTGCTAACTTCAGAAACCATCTAGCCTACCTCCCTACTCTTGTATTTTTGTAAATCTCAAAGCTCTTGATCAAACTGATGTGGGAGGGGCATTTTTATTGGCACAAGGATAATCAGTACAATAATTCTTTGCCCATTACCAGGCAGAGTGTGTACATGGCGGGATTAATTCACTAAAGCAGTTACTTCCCTTTGAAGTCAGAGAACTTTTTAATAGTGCTTTTCATCCTTGCTTGTTTCTTTGTCTAAGGCACTGCTTGTTTTACAAATCCCACTTGTTAAGTGTCACTTGCCCTGGTTTTGCTAGGAAATCCTCTGGGAGTCTCAGCCTGTAATGTTCTAAGCTCCACTCAGAGTGAATCATCAGTGAAAGGCAAGCTTTAAAAATGAGATTCCTCTAAGTCAGCCAAAACCAGAAAACCAATCCTTCCCTCCCCAAAACACTTGAAACAGATTGCCAATTACAGCAATTAGGATGATTTTTCATATATTAAGCTTCCTGTCTCTTGATTATTAGTTAATTAGCTCTCCAGCACTGAAGAGGTTTCTGCTGTAAATAAAATGTCTAATTTTAGAGTAAACAGAGACAAATAAAAAAAGCAAATACTTCCCAACCCCCTGCCCTTTTTTCTCTCTTAAAAAAGGGAAAAACTGTGCTGGAGAAGCACTAACTTCCAGCAGCAAGGAATTCTAGGCTGCAAATTAACAGTGCCTCCCTTTAAAGTTTGTAAAATGCATTGAATGTGGAAAGGCCACTGGGAGGTAGAATCACAGCACTGCCATTACCCAGCTTATATCTGTCCTTTTGCAGAACTACTAGAGCTTTTTTAACCCCATTTCAGAAAGATTTCAACTCAACCTTTTATGAAAGGAGAACTATAAATAGGCTCTTAGATTAAAACCCTTAACAGCTGAGAAGGCTGGAAAGGGAGGTGGATATTATCCACCTTTCAGGAGTCCAAATTGGGGCTGCAAGGGCTTAATTACAAAGATATCCTTAAGAACACACTGAGGGCTGCTGTAAAAATGACTCCAATTACAGCAGCTCCACAGACATCACTCCACCTGGGAGAGAGGAAAGCATCAATTCCCTCTCTGTGCACCCCATGCTAATGCAGCAGCACACCCCAAGTGCAGCTCCACCCCACACCAGCTCTGCTGCACGTGGAGAGTCCTCTCTCCCAGGGGGAAAAACAGAAATGCCAGAGACTTGGATTCCAGGGATTTGGATTCCTTTGTTTTCACTCTGATATCTCCAAGTGGAGGTGAACTGCTGGTATAACTTAAGGGAGCTAAATCCAGTGCTTGGAAGTGTCTCAGGCAGAAAGAAGTTTGGATTTGAATGTGGAATTCATGATTTCACATGAATCACTCCCTCTCCTGAAATGGGAAACTCATGGTTTTCCCTATGATTTCACTGTGATGGTGTATTCTTATTTATGATGTCACCAATGCCTTCTGTAATTACCAATAAATTTACAATTAGTGTTAAGGGAAATAATTTTTATATAGCATCAAGAAAGTCCTTATGGTTTCAGTACTCCTGTGCTAAGAATTTTGCAATTGTGCTCAACTGGATATTTGAAGTTCCTTCATATATTGTACCTGAAATCAGAAGAAAACAAATTAATAGATTCTAAACCCAGAGTGAATTTATGAAGAGAGATCAAAATATCATCCTAAAGCCCAGTGAGAAACTTTATAATTATGAAATGAAGCTTTACTGTGCAAGTACTAGCACAGAATTGTAATTATTTATATAATATTATAAACGTTCCCGTTTTATTATCTGTAACAATAAAAGCACTTTTCTGGCTGACAAAACATAATGCAAAGACATTTTCCTGAAAAGCAAGTCTTAAATAGCCAAAAAAATGAAGAAGTTCCAAATGCTGTTGTAATAAAAGCCAAAGGGTAATTTTGTTAAAAATATCAAACTGTTGTGTCAAAGGATTATCCTGATAAACAAGAAAGCCTTGAAAAGAGAACTCCACATGGATTGAGATCTTAAAGCAACTGAAATTATTTTTAATTTTTTTTTTTACAGAAATTTTCTTAATAGAATGATACATGGTGTTTGTGCCTACATTTTGTTGGTATCTAATCAAACATTTTAACTAGCCTTGCATGTACATACATTTATACCTAAAGTTTTATATCTGAGCCTTTGAATTAGTGTTGATACAGTCTCAAGGAAAAAATATCCTGAGAAAAAAAGCCAGGCCTTCCTCCTCAAACTTTAATAGCACCAAGGCACAAGAGATAACTGGTAAGGAAGTGGCACTCACCTATCTTGCAGTCACGGTAGTACTTTTCTATTGGGAAATTTTTGGTGAATCCAACACCTCCCATCCACTCAATACATTTACTGGTTGTCAGTGTTGCAACCTGTGAAGAGAGTTTCAGAATTACAGGATTCAACTTCAGACAGCAGCAGTAAAACTTACACTTTGTACCTGATTAATAACAAAACAGGGAATAAAGCAGAGACCAGAACAGGAGGGAAGAAGGATGAGTATTTTGGTATTCATCTTCAGCAAGCCATTTTAGGATAAAAACAAGATAAACCAGAGGACATCAGGAGTTCACTAATTGTTTTGTAATCGTTTCTATGCTGCTCTGTGCAAAAGACCAGCAGTGGTGTGCAAGAGAGCAAATGCAAAGAGGGAAAAGCCATCCAGTTTTGAGTCATGTTAAGACTCACACATGTGACCAGCTGAATTCTTTACAGTGTCATTTCTCATGTCACAATAAGATTTCTGAGAAAACTAAATCTTTCCTGATAAGTGAAAGTATTAATTCACTGTCCTCTTTTAGTGTTGTTGGCTGGTTTTAAAGATTTTATTTAGGGGCATGAGCAGCTTATTCTCTGGTGACTTAATTTAGATTCTGTTCATGGACTGAGAAACACAGAATGAGTTGGGTTGGAGGATGTTGGAGCATTGGGGGGCAGGAGATGAGAGATCTCTGCAGCCAGGTCGTGGAACTTGGGGTTTATTGCAAAGGGCCTGGGTGCAGGGCCCTGCTGGGATTTGGGGTTTATTGCAAAGGGCCTGGGTGCAGGGCCCTGCTGGGATTTGGGGTTTATTGCAAAGGGCCTGGGTGCAGGGCCTGCTGGGATTTGCGGTTTATTGCAAAGGGCCTGGGTGCAGGGCCTGCTGGGAGCTGCCAGCCGCAGCTCAGAGCAGGACTGAGAGAAGAGAGGGAGAGAGAGGATGAGAGTGTAAGAGAGTAAGGGGGTGAGAGCATAAGGGTGTAAAAAAGGAGAGTGAGGTTCCTGTTACAACACAATAAATCTTCTTCTGTGTTGAATATTCTAATTCTCACTAACCAATCTAATACAATATACAAAGTCTATAACATTTACATACAGCCTTACAGCCTGTAAGAATCACTACATTACCACACTGTGTTACATTTTAAACCCTAAAAACTCCTCTTTGGATCCTTCTGCCAAGCTGTAGGGTCTCCTCTGACCCTTGGACCTGTGTGCAAGCAGAGGGCATTATTTCATCAAAAGGGGATCACCTTCAGCTGGCCACACGATTGTTTTCCAGTTGTTCAGTAACTAAGGGATCTCAAAGCTTGCTTTCATTTCAATCTCGCTTACAGTTTCTATTTTCTCAAAATCTTTTCCCAGACAATCATATTTATAAGGCTTTCCTGTTTCATCTTCCCCAACAGGAGGGGATCTTAAAACTCATCTCAATCCCTTGGCAGAGGGACACCTTCTTCTACTTGCCCAGGTTGCCCCAAGCCCCACCCAACTTGGCCTGGAACACCTTTACTGAGATAGAAGTACATCCAGAGCTTGCACAGCCAAGATGAATTCTGAGTACACAGGGGGTAGCAGAAGGAGCTGTAGCAGCAGGGAGGGAGCTCAGGTACCTCAGCAGTGAAGTACTTGGCCATGCTGGCCTCCTTGATGGCCGGCCTGCCCGCCTCCGCCAGCCGCGCCGCGTTGTAGGTCAGCAGCCTGGCCGCCTCCAGCTGCGTGGCCACCTGGGCAATCTGGTGCTGCATCCCCTGCAAGGGCAGCACAGCACTCAGACTGACCACAGCCCCTGCAAGGGCAGCACAGCACTCACCCACACAGAGCCACAGCCCCTGCAAGGGCAGCACAGCACTCAGACTGACCACAGCCCCTGCAAGGGCAGCACAGCATTCACCCACACAGAGCCACAGCCCCTGCAAGGGCAGCACAGCACTCACACAGAGCCACAGCCCCTCTGAAGCTGCCAGCAACAGCCATCCTGCTCACCATGCAATGTACTCTAAAATAAAAACATCAGGTCCAGCTGGGAAGTAATTCTGTGACAGGGTCTCTGGTGTCGAGATGACCCCGAGGTGTTGCAAAGTCTCTTCTTCCCAGCCCCAGGATCGAAGAAAGAGTCAGGATTCCTTGGCTCTGGTTCTCAAGCTTGTTTATTCTCTGTTATCTAAAACATTCTTTTTCTGAGGTCTGTCTAGGATGTTGATCTGTGGCACACTGACCGCCTTGGGGTGGTGTTAGCTTTTTATACTAAAAACTACGTGTACTTTATTTACAATAATTTTCCAACATCCATCACCTATGTTAGACAGTTTGTCTCTACTCTAAACCAATCCAAAAGTGCCACCATCACAGCAGAAGATGGAGGCTAAGAAGAAACAGGAGGAAGGACAAGACATGCCCAGATTCCTCCATCTTGCCTCTTGAACCTCCCTTCTAAAACCCCAAAATTCTACATTTTCACCCTGTGATAAATTAACTATCATTCTATTCAAACTCTTGAGGTTTGTAACTCTTCACACAAAGTTGGGAATTGTCTCCATGGGTTAAAATCAAAGGCACAGGTGTTTTTGACCCTGTGCCAAGGTCTCTGAGCCCCCTGTCAGGGTCTCAGTCCTCCAGGGCAGTCAGAGGAATTTCCTGGGTTCCGACAATTCTGTGTTTATTGACAGAGGTTGGGAACACTCCTGGGCCACTGAAGTGCTCTCAGGAACTGCAGTCCTGTTTTCCCCTTTCCTGTTCTTGGATTCAGGAGCACTGGGGTTCTTTTTGCCTGACTGGACAGAGGGTTACCTATTTAAACCCAGGAATATAAAGGATAATTTTATCCCAATGTTAACATCCTCCTCAGGATTACAAAGGCATGAGGAAGACAGAGCAGCATTTTTCATTCTGCAGCTGTTCACTGAGACAAAACCAGGTCTGGTTCCCTAATGAGCTTAGCCAAGGAAGACTTGTAAACAAATATTTCTTAAATAAAAGTGGAGAACTGGCAAGGTAACAACTTCTTTCCTTGCCCCAGAGGCACAAGACAAGATTTAGAAGCAGCTTAAAAGAACAGAGGACACTACTGAGGAATGGATTCAAGGGTGATGGAGCTCATATCTGAATGGTATTACAGAAGAATGGGTTTATTTAAGAACACCCAAATATTATGATCATTGAAAATGAACACTTAGTAGACTAAAACACAATGAAATCTTTCATCTTATTAGAACATTAACACCATTCCCTCAGATCTGCAGAAATATATAGGCAGGTCAAAATACCAAAATGATTTGGCAATTATAAATTCCATTTCCCATTCAAAAGACGTAGTTCCAATCATTTCCTAGGTATCTATGAGTGCTTCCTAAAATTTGCATAAATTATGAGTAGTGCTAATGTTCCTTCTCTTCAGCTGAGATGTAGGTTTCTTTTAACAAGAAAATTACCAGAGTAATTACAATTATGTATCTTCCTTATTAAACTATACATCATTTTTGCAACAAAGAGTCTTTTTGGCTGTAAGAAACAGATATTATAATGAAAACTAAATGTCTTTGTACAACACAGGAAATCTAATAATTCAGTTTTCATCATCTTTTTATAATTTTTATTCTTCAGAAAAAGCCCTTCTCCTTCACCTCATGAAAGGATATAAAAAGTGGAGCACATTCAGTATAGTGTGATACTAAAATCAGAAGGGAGTTCCATGTGTATTATCATCAAGGAATGTCAATAAGTTATCAAGCAAAAGGAATATGTTAAAAATATGTAAAGTTTTAAATTATTTGTGTGGTACTTGCAAAGGCACTGAATTGCTGAATTTTACATGGCAGATGAACGTCCATCCAAAATATTTTTGAAAAATACTCAAATATTGAGGAGGAGAGAGAAGACGTGAAGTGGAACATAAATTATGCAAATCATAATACTAATTATACTGTTTATTATGGTCACTATTTTTTGTTGGAGGAAAGATTCCATTAACAATTACCTGGAAATCAAACACGCTCTTCCCAAACTGGACTCTCTCCTTTGTGTAGGGAACTGTACGGTCAAAACAGCCCTGGGCCAGTCCTAACATCTGTGAGGAAAAATAAGGATTTGGTCAAAAAAATTGATTCATTAAATGCACCTAATGGAGATGATCATAATTGGTCATCTTCTGGTCAGGCAGGTTGATATCCAGGAGAAAAGTTGTTTTCTTCCTACCCAGATATTGTTAAAGCTTGTATAGAGAATCCTGGGAGCCAGAATTTCACAGTTATCACACAAACTGAGGGGAGTTATAAAAAATAAAAGTTTGAGGAACAAACCTCTAACATGCCCATTTCTTACCATAGGCAAGTATTTGTGAAAACACTACCACTCATTTTTTGAACAAAACTTATGGGTCAGCTGTAATTGCAAAAATATTAAGTGTTTTTTTGGAAAATTCATAATTGCATAAGAAAATGACTGTAAACTGAAGATCTATAGATCTGCATTACCCCATTAAAGGATAAATAATCTGAATGATTAATCAAAACTATTTTCATAAGCAAAATAATTTCTCATTTTCTAGAGGACACCAGACTGAATTGCCAGAATTAGCAATTTATTTCAGAATTTAGAAACTGAGTGGTGTGGAAGGAGAGACAACATTTCTTGCACTATCTTCCAACTCTGCAGAACCATTGTAAAAGAATTTTGATCAATTTTGTCTTTCCACAAAGGCAGAAGCAGTAAAGTGTCACATCAGACAGCTTAGAAAAACTACCTTGAATGATGTACAACAGAAAAAAAAATTATACAAAGGCAAAAAGTAAAAGAAAACATTGAAGTCTGCTGCTAATCAGCTCCATTATCAGATTTGTCATCTCCTTATATAAATTATAAGAACAAAGTACATCAACTTCAGCACCTGTAATAATATTGCAGCTGCCTTGCACTAAAACCATCTGAAACTGTTTTCAAAGCCACAATTACCTTTTATAAGATCTTCATTATCTTTTAAAACTATTCCAACTGCAAAACTAAACTCAATACCACAGGGCTTTAGAGCTTCTGCTCTTGTCAAGTCCATTTCTCTTAATTTGAAGGTGCCGAGAAGGCAGTAATTAAGATATAACAACTACCTGACCTTAACTTTTAATTAAGGTGTAACTTGGAGTAATTAAGAGTAAAATCCAGAGCATGTATTTTACTGGCAGAGCCTTTATATTATTTATATCTCTGGGAACAGTGAGGCCCACAGCCCTTTTTAAATGCCATATCAGACAAAGTTTAATCAGAGGTAATCTTTAGAAATGATGGAAAAGCCAGCCCAATTATCAGCATTGAGTATTGCCACGTGGAAAATCTCAATTTCATGAAGATGATTTCTTCTGGTCTGTCTGCAAACCAGGGCAACAAATAAAGGAGATTGGTAGTACAAAAATATTGCACAATAAAGTATAAACAAAGAAAATATTACTTTCAAAAGTAAAGTAAAACTATAACAACTTATCACAAGTAATTTTATTCTGGGGCTGACTTCCACTGAGATCAGCAGCATTCTGAAATCCAAACTGACTTTACAGCAAAATACAACATTTTGAAATAACTCCAAGGTTGGTAAATATTCTCCCCTAAGACACCATACAGTACAATTTTCAAACACAACAATGAACTGGAACAGCTCTGCTAGAGAAAATCACATTTATTTTAAAAATAAGTTGACTTTTAAAAACAAGTTGGGAAAACATCAGTTAGCACTAGGTTACATTTGCCAGCCCCATACAATCCCAGCTGGAAGCATTAATTTATACATCTCAGTGTGTTAAAGTTTCCAAAGTCAGTTTTCTTTGTAAAATAAATTTTCATAGTGGAAGACAAGAACGTGGACATAATTCAGAAGCAATAAGTTAACGACCAAAGAGAAGCTAATTGCCATTTAATGTTTTTGAAGTCTATTGCTTGTGTCACCACAGAATTTTCCCACTGGCAGCTGTAACTGCTCCAACTTTCCCATCTTTGCTGTCACTTTGCTACGGGAACAGTGACATCTAGTGGCAATGGAACTCTTAATAAAGTATTTTCCAAACAGCTTTAAATATTCGACAGATTTCAGTCCAGACTCAAATGATATCCTGGCTGTGCTCAGTAACAAACCAAACCACCCACCTGTGCAGCAATCCCTATCCTGCCAGTATTGAGCATTCCAATGGCATATTTATAGCCTTGTCCAACTTGTCCCAGGATACTGCTCTCAGGAACCTAAAAAATAAAACCACCCAATTATTCATGTTCTATTCTGTTTTGCAACTATTAAAAGAGTTCACAAGTTTTAGCAATTGCTCCTCACGAGTGAAGGCATAAAACATAAACCACAGTTTGATTCCTAGGATAGCTGATTAGAGCATTCCATGGCTATAAACTGATGACAGAAAGAAAATTACATCAAAATTTAAGAAATCCAACCCCTCTCTAGACTTCTGTGGAAGAAAGATGCTAAAATATGCCCAACAATCAGTCTATCCAAGGGGAAAAAATAGGGAATTCAGTTAATATTCTTTCCTTATCTGTGGCCAGGTTCCAGTTTTACACAAGTTATGCTTTAAGAGCTGAACTTACAATACCTTCACGTTGTCCAAGGTGACTGGGCAGGTGGAACAAGCTCTGATCCCCAGCTTGTCCTCCTTCTTCCCCACCTGGAGCCCCTCTGTGTTGCGATCCACGACGAAGCAGGTGATTCCTCTGTAGCCCTGGGGGATTAAAAATAATCAAAAACTGGTTTGCATACCAATATCCCTCAAAATCTACACCCACACCCACACTGGGCACAAACCTGATACTTGCATAGTCAGTTATGTGATTTTTCACTGGACATATTTTACATATTTTCCATTTTGCCTTTTAACAACAGGAAGTTGTCAGCTAAGTCAGAAAGGTTGGAAAAATGTAAGACTGAGTCCTGTTACTCAGAACACCACCAGTGCTGTGCAACCATGATCCTGACATTCTTATTTTCCCTGGTTGGAGGAATTTATTCAATTGCTCACCAAATTGCTGCCTCAAGTTTTGTTGGGAAATATCTTTAAAGGTTTGCAGTCAGCTAGGAAAAGGTGCACAGAGTATAAACCTGTAAGATCAGATTATCAGTATAAAATCCACAGTTTCATATCTCAGCAGCTGTCACTGCAAGAATTCTGTAGCAACTTACTAAGGATTGGTCTGTATTTGCCATGACAAAGAAGACTCCTGCATCTTCTGCCAAGCTAATCCACATCTTTGAGCCATTGATAATGTAATAGTCTCCCTTCTTTTCAGCTCGAGTCTTCAAGGAAAAAGCATCACTGCCAGACCCAGCCTCTGACAGACAGAAACTGCCTAACTGTCAAGGGAAGGGAAAAAGCCAATTTAATTTTCACAGATATAAATAAATTCTATAAGGAAAATACTTATAAGCCAGCACAAGTGTCTTAAATTCAAACATTTTAACCTATTGCATTGAAGTAACTGAGTTTCAGCTATGAAGATTAAGAATAGAAACACTGTGTAATTACACATCTCTCAAAGTCAACTGCTTTACAGCTCTTTTCCACAGTAAATGAAATTTTAATGAAACTAATAAGTGCCTTTCCACTTTTACCTCTCAGCTACTGATGACAGGATGTATCTATATCACCACAGATCTCAGCTCTAACCAGTGTTTCAAAGTTCACACATATTTTCCAGAGCTGCAGACACACATTAGCCACTGAAAAAAAAATCCCCACTAACATTACTAAACAATAATATAATTTCAATAGTTAAGTCAAGCAAGACTTTGACTCACTGTATCTTTGGACACCCTGGGCAGGTAAGTTCTCTTTTGTTCTTCTGTTCCATAGGTGGTAAACAATTTATTTGTTAGAGTGTTTTGGAGTTCACACACAAGAGCCACAGCTGGATCAACCTTGGCCAATTCTTCCACTGCCAATATGATTGAAAAAAATGAAGCTCCAGTTCCTCCATATTCTTCCCCAAGCTCAATACTCATCAGCTGAAATGGAAAAGGTGCAAATATATGAATTTCTTGGCCCTGATAGCGGAAAAGGCTAAAATTGAATCCAGGAATGAACACCAGGATTTTGGCAATGTTTGTCCTCATGGCTGCCCAGTAAGGCACAGAGGAATATTGGTTCTCTTCTCCATCAACACTTGGAGTCATTGCCTTTCCTGCATCCAATTAAAAAAAACTGAGGGAGGGAAGACAAGGAGCTAAAAGATAAGGTGAAGTATGTGGTATGGGGGAGATGGAAAAAGAATTACAGTAAAAGATGGAGTGATAATGCTGTAAAGAAAGCTGTCGTGTGATTGACAACTCCAAAATGTTTAATGATTCATTAGTTCATTTGAATTATATCCCTCAATCTTTTCATCTATAAATCTGAACAAGGCAATGTTAGAGATACATAAATTGCTGTTAGTTTCCAAATACAAGATTAGGTAAAGGAGTGCAGACCCCTTGTTCAAACAGTCCCTGCACGATGGACTCTTCCATTTTCGCATTCTCGTCCATTTTTTGCACGAAAGGTGCAACTCTTTCCTGGGCAAACTTGGTCACTGCAATGAAGGGAAGAGAGAAAACAGTAAATATTCCATAAATAAATAAATGAACAGTCTCCTTGGGAAACAATATAACAGGAATGTGGTGCTTCTGACAGGTTATGCATGTCAGAAGAAAAAGTAGCCCAAGCAACATCAGGCGTAAAGCACAACTCCCCCAAAAAATCTCAACATTTGACTAGAAATAAATAATGAAAACGAAATTTTAAGCTCAAATATCCCTTCTACTTGAACCATTGCTGAATTTTAACTGCAGAGATGATAGCTACCCATGTCTTTCAGCATGGCCTCCTCTTCAGTGAACGTTTGAAGTGGAGCACAGGCAAGTCCATCACTGGCCACGTTTGGTTTGAGCTCTGATTTGGAGGATCTGAAAGCACAGGGAGAAACCCTCCAAGGAGCCAGGTGTGCTGGCATGTGTCTTCTCAGCTGCTGGCAACAAACACAGAACATGCAAAAAGTCAGATTTGTATGCAGACAACCATCTGTAACTTCACCCAGTGCTTTTATTCAGTAAATTATTACAAAATATAACTTACATCTAATGTTCAGCTTGAAAGCTTTTGAGAAAATATAACCTCCCCCTCCCCTCTGTCCTAAAAGAAAATATCCTTTAATTACTTTTCTTTTAATATGAAACAGTTTTCTTCCTGGAAGTTTACAAACTTTTATTCTACAAAGTATTCACAAGCATTTTTTAGTCAATTTTAGTGCTTACAGCAAATAAACCCTGCTGATAGTATTTATTTTGTAGGTGATTTTGCAAGTCTACTGCAATATTCAGAGAAGTGAGTATTACTTCTGTAATACTCACTTCAGAGTGTATTTCAATTGAATTAATACTTTCATTGACAAGAATGACAAGAGTAAATATAAAATACACATATAATGATTTTTACAGGCCTGCCAACTTTAATTGACTGATTTTAATATTCTTCCTGTTTTTCTAGGGACCAGCAACTCTTATTATATTTTTACTTTATTTATTTTATTTTACTTTTTAAATTTATTTTATATTATTTTATTATATATTATTTATATTTTATTAAATTTATTAATAATAAATATTTATTTTATTATTGTATATTAAATATTTATTTTATTATACATTATTTTATTATATATTATTTATATTTTATTAAATTTATTGTTTAATAATAAATATTTATTTTATAATATATTATTATTTATTATATAAAGCAATCTGACAGCCCCTCATGTGGATTATTGGCATTTTGCTTTGAAAGAGCCCAACTTTTAACTGCACTGTGGGTTTCTCTATTAAAACTGAATTCTTACCCACCACGTAATGATTTTCAGAATGAGCACACATTTTGTAGCCCAAGCCCTGGCATTTGAATGCTTCTGTACAGGTAATTTCCACACAGTTAAAATCCCACAGTCAGTATGTTGACAGTGTAACCAATAATTAATGTGTCTTATTTGGCTGATTTATTTTAAAAGCATGGGAAGGAACTAAAACTAAGTGATTTATGTTTTTGTTCCCCATTTGTCCACAATATACAACAATGATTTCAAGAAGCATTGGTTGTCCAACCAAAAGGGCACAAGTTGAGCATTTTACTGTGGGGAATAGTATTAAGAATATATGGCAAAAGTCACAAAAATGAACAGAACATGGGTTTTTGGGAGGAAGCTACACACAGTGATTGTCAGGGCATAGATAATGTGACAGCTCTGTCCCTCAGAGACCTAAAAACTTTTGTGTTCAAAGACTTCATTGCCTCACAGCAGGCTTTAGAAAGGCAAGTTTGGTATGAAGGCAAATCCGCTTTCCAAACACAGAATAATTCCTTAGGATTTTAAAGAAATTGGCATAAGGGATCTGGCTCAAAAAGTAATGGGCTAAATTGAGTAGCTGAAATGAATTCCTGAAAAGCAGCACAGTTTGTCTGTGCCCCAAAAGGGCAGAACAATGGTTCTGTTCTGCTCCCCAGAGCCACTCTGGGCTGATCTCAGCTCCACATTTCTGGCACTTCTGCCCTGTCAGAGCAAAGTGTGGAGACACAAATGTCCCAGCAGGACAAGTGGTGACAGAAACCCCCAGCAGAGACACAGCTGGGCCATGGTGATAGTGGAACCCTGGAAAAAGTTAAAGACAGAATCTAAAATGTTAGGCTTTGTGCTTTCCCAGATCAACTGCACCTGCGTAAGCAGTATGATAAATTATATAATTGTTAGATGTGATGATTGTTTAGTAATTAAATGTAATTATTATATAACCATAAGAAGAAGAGTGAGAAACTATGCTGGAAATTCAGAGAGGGGCTAAATTAATGTATACAATAGAACAATATAAGTTCAATAATTAACATGAAAGTTATGTAACAATAGAGTATAAAACATGATCATTTGGGATGTATGGTTGGAGTCAGATTTGGGTTAATATACCCTGATTCCCAGAGCTCTTAATAAAAATCACTGCATATAATCCCCCGTGATTGTGTGGTTTTGAACACTAACAATGGGGGATATGAAACCACATCTGCCAGCACAGGATTTTGGGTGACTGTGACCCCCAGAGTGAGGAACAGACTGGCTGTGCCCCCAGCAGGTGCCTGCTCAGCCCACACAACACAGGGCAAGCCCACAATGCACACTGTGGCTGCAGCATTCCTCCAGAACCAGCAGAAATCTGGGGTCAGGAAGTAAAAATTCCTTTGATCCTTCTAATAATTCCCCCTCTTTCATGTCGGCTTTCAACACTTGTCACCTTCCTGGCTGGAGAACTGATGGGAAGCACATCCATGAACTCTTGTGGAGACAAGAAGCAAACGTTTGCTGTGATAAGAAAATTCTGATTTTGGCACAAACAGAACAAACAGTCAGAGGTGGTAATAGAGAAAATAAATATTGCTGTGAAAATTCAGTGTTTATTCACATTCAACACCCCTGGTGACATAAAACAACCACTGGGCTAAATTATGAGTACATTTGGATGGTCAGCAGTAGCTGCAACACTTTTAAATTATGATGTTAATTATGGAGTTACTGTGGGTGTTCACAAAATAAAGAAAACATTGTTTTAACAGAGATTAAAGCCCATGTTCTGGGAGCAGTCAGGCAGGAATGGATTATGTGCAGGACATGCAGCAATGCTGGGGTCACCTGGCACCAGGTGTGCAAACATTCCCCTGTGCAGGTCTGTCCTTGGCCAGGACTGGGAAGGAAAAAGGTGAGCCTACACATGCACACTTGTATTTAACACTGGGCTGCTTCCTGAGCACTTGGCAGGGCTGCAAACCACACACAAACCTCCTGCTCCCTCCACCACTTCATCCCCAAGTACAAAGAAAAGAGTGTTTTCCTCCATGGTGGCACAAATAAAGTGAATCACAGGGAAGGTGAATCCCCTTCACCACCCCAGGGTGCTCCAAGCCCTCTCCAAGCTGGTTCAGGCATTTATCAACCATGCTTTGGTCAGTGATTGTTTGAGACACTTTGCTCCTTTGCAGGAGCAAACGAATATTCCTAAAATTCCTAAAAAGGTCACCTTGAAAAGTTTTAAAAGCAATGGGATGCATGCAAGGATGGGATTAATGCTGGCAACTCCCACACAAAGAGCAGCAACTCACAGCTGTCCCAGAGGAATAGCCCAGTGTGGAAATTATGTTTTAGGTCAATATTTAGATTTAAAAACTAAATAAACAATCAAGTCACTACATTATTGTGCCGCTTTCTTTTCTTAGAGGCCATGTAGTACCACTAATTTCAGGCAGTTATTTAAACAGCATGTGCATTACTTAAATCCTTGGCTGCTGCTTCCCTGCCTTTTTTCCTGCTCTTCTACTATAGATAGTGATTTATGCTACTACAGGATCCAGACTGCCTCCTCTGCACAGACACCCCGCAATCCGCACCCTGAGCATCCTCGAGCGGTGCAGAGGCTGCCGGAGCTCTCGGGGCCGCTCCCCGGCAGTGCCGGCACCCCCGGGCACAGCTTTGGCTGCTCTGTAACTGCAGGAGCCCCCGGAGCGCCGCTGCTGCCAGGCCGCTGCTGCCTCCCTGCATTACACGAGACTCACAGAACTTTCCTTAGCGCCCAACCCAACCCCGCCGCCCCACGCACAAACGCACAGGGCAGAAGGACAGGAGGACGCTCCCCACCACCCTCACGCCTCGCAGCGCTGCCCCTGCACCCCAGCATGCCCAGCCCCGGCCAGACACCCACACCCGGCAGCGGGCCGGGGAGGTGCCGCTTTCCCCTATGCAGCTTTCCCTTGTCCCCTCATGCCTGTCCCGCCCTGAGGCGTCACCTTGGCGCAGCCCCTCAGCCAAGCTCCCGCCGCCGCCGCCATTTTGGCGCCCGCCCCGTGACGTCAGGGCCACTCCCGCGTGATGTCAGCGCCACCGCCCACGTGACGTCAGAACCAACGCCCCCCTCCTCCGCTCCCGCCGGCGCGCGCGGGTCTCGCGAGACTGCGGTGGGCGGGGCCGGGCCGGGCCGGGCTGGGCCGGGGGAGGCACAACAAACATGGCGGCGGCGGGAGGCGGGAGCGGCGCGGGGTGGCGGCGGTGAGTGCTGCCCGTCCTCCCCTTCCCGCTTCTTTCTGCCCTTCCCTCTCTTTCCCTCTCCCTTTCCCTCCCTCCTTCTCCTTCCGGGGCCTCCCTGTGCCGTGATGGAGCCGGGCGGGGGGCAGCGCTTGGGGAGGGCCGCGCTGCCCCGCCGGGAGCGGGGCCGGGTCAGCGGCGCAGCCCCGAGGCTGCTGCCTTGGTGCGGGGCTGAGGGACACGGGAATCAGAGGGATCACAGAAATTACAGAGTGGCAGAAATCACAGAGTTACTGAAATCGCAGGGTCACTGTAATCACAGAATCAGAGTGGGTGAGGTTGGAAGGGATCGATCCGGGGCCACCTCCCTGCTCAGGCGGGGCCATCCCCGGGCACACGCGCAGGTTCTGGACTGTCGGCACTGGGGGAGACTCCGCACCCTCTCCGGGCAGCCTGTTCAGCGCTGTCACTTCATAGTAAAGAAGTTTTTCCTCGTTGAGGTGGAACTTGGTGTGCATCAGTCCCTGCCCGTGGCTCTGGTGCCACTGGTGGTCCCCGGAGCAGAACCTGGGCCCTGCTGGGACACCCGGGGACAGCCTGGGCACGGCTCTGACACCCAGGGACACCCGGGGACAGCCAGGGCTGAGCGCCCTCCCAGCTTGCTGGGGCTCCTCTCCAGGCTGAGCAGCCTCAGCTCCCTCAGCCCTTCCCGGGCACGGAGATGCCCCAGTGCCTTCAGCATCTTCACTGCCCTTCCCTGGATGCTCTCAGGAGCTCCGTCCCTCTTGTCCCACGGAGCCCGGAGGGGGACACGCGGGTTTCTGGGAGGTTTCCCGTGCCCCTGTCCCTCCCCACTCTGGCATGGGGCGGAGGAGGAGGAGCGGGATCGAGGAGGCGTTCGGGGTTGGTGACAGGTCACGGTGGCCACCGAGCTGTGCTTCACTCCCTCCCCACCGTCAAACTCATTCAGGAGGACCAGGAAGGGCTTGGATGGAGTTTGGATTCCTTTCTGTGTTTATTTATTAGCTATGGAAGAGATGGAACAGAGAACACTCCCGTTTTTTCCTCGGTTTTCCTTATTAGAAGGTGGGATACATATGCTCACAGTAAATTTGTTTTCTTACTGCATCCATGTCCTTATGGATACTTTATGCTCTTATAATTACTGCAGGATTACTTCTGACTGTGTGTATGAAGCAACTGGCTGTGCACCATGAACTGCTTTCTTTGCAGCATTATTTAGGCAGAATATTTCATCCTGGCTGTTCTTTGACAGCAAACTTGGCTCACCTCAGTGACCCCTGTCGAGTCCAGCAGCTGTGCCTGGATAGCAGATGAGTGACCAGTGCCCTGCTGCTGGTGCTGTGGGTGTGTCAGCAGAGCTCGGGTAACACCCGGTGTGCTCAGCCCCTCCCTGTGTGTGAAACGCGAGCTGGGCTGCTCAGTTTCTGCTAATTAGAATTGCATTTTCTGCTTTGCAGGGGTGACACAGCAAGGATCAGATGTGTGTCATCCTCCCCTGAGAAGGAGAGCTGCTGGCTGTGTAGCTCTGAAAGATGCCTCATAAAATGACAGAAGTGTTTGAGCACACAGATGGGAGCTTTGGGTCATGTTCAAGTTGTGGTGACTTCCCAACATGGTGTAAAGAAAATAAGGAGTGTTCTCAGGATAAATCAATGAGGCAGAGAAAGGAAGTTTTATGCAGTTAATCCCTATCCTGTTTATGAAATTTTGTGCCATTTTATTTCAAAATTAAATGTTTTTTAAAAGCAATCAGTGCAGTCAAATAAGGCTGAGAGAATTGGGGTTGTTCAGCCTGGAGAGGAGAAAGCTTTGAAGCGACCTAATTGTGGCCTTTCAGGACATGAAAGGACACAAAAGAAAGATGGAGAGAGACTATTTACAAGAGCCTGGAGTGACAGGACAAGGGGAAAACTGACAGAGAGCAGAGTTAGATGGGATATTGGGAAGAAATTCCTCCCAAGTAGGGTGGGAGGCCCTGGCACAGGGTGCCCAGAGCAGCTGTGGCTGCCCCTGGATCCCTGGCAGTGCCCAAGGCCAGGCTGGATGGAGCCTGGAGCACCTGGGACAGTGGGAGGTGTCCCTGCCATGGATGGGATTTAAGGTCCCCTCCAACCCAAACCATCCTGTGATTCTCTGAAATAAGTTTTAGTGCCTTACCCAAAGGCACACACAGATTCTCCTCTGATAACACAAACCTTTGATGTTGTTTTGAATGGTTTCATTTTAAATTGTTATTTCTTCTTATAATTCATGGAAAGTTGGCCTGGCCAGGACTCTGTGTTACACTGTCCTGTTTTTCTCTTCATATCTTCAATATTAGAGATATCTTTAATATTATAATTAATATCCTGATCTCTTTGTTTTATTGCAGGAGACACCAACAAATGGAACACAAATTAACTTAAGCCTACAGGAGGCTGTGACACCTGGAAGAGGGTAGGTAGGTAGGTAGGTAGATACATAAAGATGTGTTCTAAACTAACTTAATGATGATAATTAATGCTGGGAATTGAACACACTCAGGTAAGATGGGAAAGAACATCCTCATGTGGATGCTAAAAGTGAACAAACATCTGTAATTTGGATACACAGGAGAAGATATTTAAATGTGGTCTAGAACTCAGAACTTGAGTTCCTGTAGGTCACCTAAGTACCTCTTAAAAATAACGAATATTCTTATTGAAATGGTAGCATTGTAAATTATTTCTGATTATAACCTGCAGAAATAATGTGACAGACTTGTTCTCCTTCCAAATGTATCCCAAGCTCTCTCTTCCCAAATTCATTGTAAATTGGGACTCTATAGAAGTTTGTTATTTACACTCCCCAAAACCAGTCTGACCAGTGATTTCTGGGGAATATTTTAATGATTTCAGTGCAAAATAATGGACTGGAATAAGACTTTTACTCAGGATAGGAAAGTCAAATTTTGGGAGAACTGTGAAACAGTGCTTTGTCTAAGGCTTCTTTCCAGCTTTGCTAATCACCAGCATTCAGTTGTTTCCCCACCTTGCAGCTCCCATAACTGACTGCCCCAAATTTGGGGTTTTTTGGAGCCAGGTGTTTATTGGAAAACAGAAGTGAGTCAGAAGTGTCCTTCAGGTGACATCCAGAAGCAGAGGATGCAGTCTTTGAAAAACTTTTACTGGAAGTGTGATTGATTTAATAAAATTTAGAGCAGCAGAGTGTTAGATTCCTGTCTTTCAAACACAAATATTTTTCAGGTTTCTTTCTTAAAACTGATGTGGGTTGGGAAGAGTAATGGACTCACATTTCCTTTTTATTCCCTGTAGGAAAAGTGGAGAAGCTGTGCTCTGAGCTTTTTATCTGACGTGTTGAGGTACATTTTGGAGCATGTTTGCTACTTAGCAGGGAACTAAAATTCAGGTATGATCCATTGGTTTTATTTTTTAAAAAGGCAGCTTGATTTTTATTATTATGTGTTTTTTTTAATTTAAAAATTTTATTTACTATTTTATTGTTATGTCATTTACCTGTTGCTGAAAGTGATTTCGCCATAAATTGTATTTGGTGATCTTTAATGAGTTAAACATTCAAAAATTAATATTCTTATGGTTGCAGATTTGCTTTTTGACTCAGTGTAGTGGGTCTAATGCTGGCCAAATGCCCATGCATGCACTAAAACTTATTTATTTACTCATTTCCTGCTGTGAGATATGGATGAGGAGGGGGAAGGCAAACCAGGCTCAAAACTTTAAATGGTATAAAGAAAACTTTATTAACAGAATTAAAATAAAAAATGATAAAATCAGAACAAAAAACTTTCAGAACACTTCTGCCCCAATACTCTCTTTTCTTTCCCACAGACAAGAAAGGGACAAAAGCTGTAAAGAGACAAAACCTGGGACTTTCAGTCAGTTTGCCACCTCTAAAATAATCTTTCTTCAGTCCACCCAGGGAGAGGAGTCTCTCTTGCCATGCCATGGAGACTTCTCCACAAGAAGCAATTCTCTTGTGGCTTCAGTGTCACAGCAAATCAGCTGCCAGGAAAGGAAAATCTGTTTGCAGTGTGAAAATCCCATGAGTTACAGCTTCCCCAAAGCTGCTTTCATGGGCCATGATAACTTATGGGGCACTATTTTATGGATGCATAAAAACAAAAGTGCTCCACTTTTATCTCTGGGAGCAGAGGTTTTTCTTCTTCTGTTCCTGGGGCAAAGTTTCTCATCTCTCTCTGTTCAAGCTTCTCATTGGATTACAGCTTTTCAGCATCCACACACTCCAGCCTGAGTGTCCTTCTCTCAGAAGGTGCACTCCATGCATCATCCCCACATGCACTCCATGAGCTACAGCGAAAAAGCAAAGTCTGATAGATCAAAATACATCTTCACCATTGCCTCACAAAAGAATTTCAGCCCAAGACCAAGGCATCTCCTCAATCCCCTTCCAACTAGAATTTGATTCCTCCTTCACTGCCCTCAGTGTATGTGTTGTTTTCTCTATGTGTCTTCACCCTTTCCTTTTCCTGACTCGGGATAGAATTGGTGTGTTCATGTGCTGGGACAGTCCTGGCAGCAGGGCCTGGTGGTGGCAGAAATCCCAGCCCATGGCCCAGGCTTGGCCATGAGTGTAGCCATGATATTTTCTGAAAAATCTCTTTGCCAGAATTTTTCCTCCTGAGAAGCTGAGAGGCCTCAGGAGCACAATGTAAACATTGATTATCTGCTGCTGTGGAAGGCAACAGGTGCATCTGTGATTGGTCTCATGTGGCTGTTTTTAATTAATGGCCAATCACAGTCAGCTGGCTCGGACTCTGGTCAGTCACAAGATTTTATTATCAT